TTCTTCAAGGGTAACTTTTTTTAAAGGGTTTTAAGGTCTGCTTCTGTTTTTTTAATTACTTCTTTAACGAGTGCTATAAAGAATACAAACAATTTGGCAAGATCAAAGAATCCCAGATGTTGCTATTGTAAAAAGCACAGCAACTGATCAAAGAGTACCCCAATGAATTCAAGTACAGCGTGGAGGCAAAATAAGAACAAGAAAGAAACACTCTTTTATTTTATGTTAGCTTTAGTGTACTTGAGAAATGGCAGAATGTGATTCAAGAACATAACAAAAGCTGCTGCATTCTGTCCATAAAAACTCAGAACTGAGCAGTATTTGGTTGTTTGACCCCAACAGCAGAGGCTGGATTCTGTAATGAAGCAATTGCTAACATTTTCCATTTGACAAAAAATTCTGTAATATAAGCGATGTCACCTAACATGAAGAGGTTTTAATTAGTGAATATGACTATTCCTGAACTTAATTATAATCTAAAAATATTATGTACACAGGAAAAAAATATATAGGGGTGTAAAGCTTAATTGAAAATCACAAAAATAGAACTTAATTTAAATTTTAAAGTAAGGCTGTTATTTTCTTATCTTAAAAATTAACATTTTGATTCCATCAAAAATTGAAGTTGGCTATGTCATCACAATCAGATGTGACTAAAGGTTTGCTTAGAATTTTCCATTAGTAATATCTTAGTAATATTTTCCATTAGTAATATCTTCTCATAAAAGACAATCCCATGTCTTAAAATTAAATGTGTTGAAAAATACAGTCTTGCTGTCCAAAAAACATGTTCCTAAGACTTTGCATCTCATGTGTTTCAATATAAGTCATTTGGATGGGCTTCTCTGTGGAAATATGTATCATATATGCTGAACATTGTAACACCCCACCAAACCTCCCCCAGATGAATGGCCAAGTCTGTTTTCTTAGATTTTTTTTTTTTTTTCAGGGAGTGCACCCACAAAAAAAAGACAAAATCCAGGTTTATAAGGGCTACTAGAGAAAGTAAAAGAAAGAGAAAGGCTGATTTGAGATGTAGTAGAAAATGTGTTCTGAAATGCGTTTCAATATTAATTCCTAACCTTTTTTTAACTCCTTAAGATATTTTTATAATGCTATCCTCTTTAGCAATACAATTTTTTGAATTGTTTTATTATTTTACACATAAAAAAAAAACAAAACCAAAAAACAAAAAACCCCAAACCAAAACTACCAACCAATCGAACAAACAACTAAACCCCAAGTGATGTAAAGGCAATGGCTCACAACCTCCCACCACAAACTAATGCCAAGCTCCTGAGAAAACTACATTTGGGAAAGCTACATTTTCCTCCACCCATCTCTGATGTGATACCACATGGTTTGGGACATCCCTTTGTTCTGCTGGGTTCAGCTTTCCCAGCTGTGCCCCCTCCCAGCTTCTTGTGTGCCCCAAGTTTACTCTCATGCAGGGCAGTGTGAGAAATAGAAAAGACCTTGACACATTCCACAGTTGTTGACCATGAGCTAAAACATCCCAGTGTTATCAGCACTGCTTTGGTCACAAATCTAAAATACAGCATCATGCAGGGTGCTATGAAGAAAATTAGCTCCATGCCAACCAGACTAAATAGAGAAATACTACTGAAGATTCTCTATCAATCAGCCTCTGCCTAAAGGTGGATCTTTTTTTTCTACAGAATTCAGGAGAATCTTTCTAAATATATGCCTTCAAAGGCATATATATAGAGTCTTTCAAAGAAACCTAAATAAAGTAGATGCTTTCCCCCCACCCTCCAAAATGGTACCTTGTAGATAAATTTTTTTGCCTTGAAGACAAGAGATTAAATTTGGGTTACCATGGATAGCATCATGACATGCCAGAGAGATGATGAATTCTGAGGAACTGCTAACAAATGATATCATTAAATTACAATTGCAGCTACCAAAGAACAGCAAATGAGTGTATGATCATATTTTCCATGTCAACAAATAATTAGAGGTGATTTGGACATGCCAAAAGAATATTCAAGGACATCAAACACAGAAAAGATAATTAATGGCCATTATGAGAATAATGTTTTTGGGAGCAGGAAGGCAAAGTTTGTGACAAGCAGACTTGCAAAGCATCCAGAACAGCAGGTTCAGAAAAGCAAACTGGCAAGGTGTGCAAGACATTTAGTAATGGAAAAGGTGATGACGAGCCAGAAGAAGAAGTTAATTGCATAATACTTTAACTTTTTTAAACAATAGAAGAGTGTTATATTAAGAGGCAGAGGAAGAGCAGACTAATTATTAGGGAAAATTTCAAAGCAGAGTAAAAACAGGGTCATAGCTTGAACCAGAGAGGGGAAAAGACAGAGGTAGGCAGGATCACGGGTCCAACTGAAGGTAAGAGGACTATTTCTTTGGGAATGTCTCAAAATAAATGTACATCTGAAAATAAAGGGTGATAGAAAACATGAAAAATGATCTTCCAGCTTTTAATCTGGATTTTCTTTTTATGTGTGGCTGTCCTAAGTTTTGTCAGGGATACAAGCAAGCTCAGTGATGGATGACAATTGATGTTTCTCAGCATGGTTTTCACACTGTTCTTGATTGTACCTGCAAATGTAATATACAGTTTTCTCTATTTTTTTAAGCACACAGATAAGCATCATGTAGTTTTAAGAGTAATAAACTGTCTCATTTATCTATGTATTTCAGTATTCTTTAAAGAATGATCAAAAGAAACCGAGATCACATCCTTCTACTTTTACTTTTATGAAAGATGTCTCATACCCATCATTCCAGGCAGGAAAATGTACAAAAGTCCTTGGACAAAGCATAAATCCCTTCTGAAAACTTTTCATCCAGCCAGTAGTTTATACTTATACTCTTCATTACGGCCCAGCATCTGACCCCATTCCCCTCTCTGAGTAACTACTTCCATAAGTAATTCCATTCTTTTGGCTGGAATCCCATTTAACTCTGCTCCTGACTCACTTGTGAGCCTAACTGCTCACAGCTGATAGCAGAGGATTTAGCATTTCAGCTCATATGTCAAATAGAGTTTGACTGCTTAACTTTTTTCTTCTTACACACTGTGAAATAACTCCCAGAAGAAAAAGTTTCACATGGTAAAGACTTTGGGCAGGAAAAGACGTCAAGAACTCACGGTCAATTAAATAAATCAAGCACTTTCAAAAGCAGTTTTTGTTTTAAAGATAAATTTGGCAACTATGAAATTGACCTTCAATAATTCAGTAAAATTGTGTTCAAGCAGCTTAGCTAGGAAAATAGCAACAGACTGGCAAGCTGATTCTAACCTGTAAGGAAAATCAGAGGAAAAGGAACTGTGAAAGTCTTGGGTGAAATGCAACAGAAGACCAGCTTGGAAGGTACATCAGGGATCATCTGCTCCAACCTTTCCTGGCAAAAGGATTGTCTAGACAAGATGATGCAGCAATTTGTACAGCTGAATCTTAAAACTGTTCAACACTGGGGAATCTGCCACTTCCCTGGGCAGACAATTCCAATGGCTGATTGTTCTCATTGTGAAAAACTGTTCTTCTGTGTCTAATCTGAATCTCCCCAGGATTAACTTGTACTCCTTGTCTTACCTGTGGGACTCCTTGTAAGAAGTCTATTTACTCATTCTGAAATGTCCATTTACTAATTTTTGATTAACTAAAGCTAGCAAATCAAATTGCTATCTAAATGAAGTCTTGAGAAAAATTATCTTTAAAGGGAAAAGTCTGGAAATGTAAATAAAAGAAAGAAAATTAGTTGAAAAAAAGAACAAGAAAAAAATGAATGTTTTAATACTCACCTGGAAATAAAGTATGATAGTCTAAATTGTAGCTTTAGTACCTAAAGGTCCTAGTTTTCCTTCCCAGGATGTTATCAGATGCACTATGGCTCTAAGTCTTCCCTGATAGCTCATGAGAGAATCTCCAGTTGTGACACCAGTGATATATTTAGGGCTCATTCATCCCTAACAAATGCCCATTGATTAAATCACCCTTATGCTGTTAACACCACTGAACCCGAGGACTACTTTTATCTGCCAAGAAAATCTCATACAAAAGAGTGAAAACCATTTCTTTAGCTTCATATAACTTCACAGGATGATCTCAGGACACATCTACAAATCCAGCCCTGCCCTTCTGCTCCTCAGTTACTGGTGATGGAAGAAAGCTGATGGTGCTTTAGGAAGAGAAAAAGACTCTTCTTCTCAGTAGTTACAGCTCTGACCCATGCAGCTGCCACTGTTAACACTTATCCTCCAGGGACTGTTGGGAAAATGCTGCCTTTCCCAGCTGTCTTTTTTCCATAGAAACTTCCCACCTCCCAAGCATATGGTAAGGGATCTTTTTATCTATATTTGCCCTGAATCGTGAAAAAAAAACAAAAACAAAAACAAACAATGCAGGATAGTACCTGGGCCCCCAGCTGGAGTGGGAAATTGTTACCAGGGAGGAAATATAACCTTTTGGGTTAAAACCACAATTTGTCTGAATTGAATAAATTACAGCTCTTTCATGTCTCAGCCACTGACACAGAGATCACTGACTAGAAAACCAGGAGCTTATTTTACCAGGTAAGCAGGCTAGAAAGGTGAAATGAAGACTATACATAATTATGCCTTGGAAATTTTCCTTTCTTATTTTGAAGATATATTACTTATTTTTTCAGTAATATGTATGCTTCATATCATCTATCAGGTTGGTAATTCTCATGACAGACTTCTCCTGAAATTCTATTGTTTTTCCCATTCAGCCTAAAAAGTTTCCATAAACAACTTTGTTCAGCATCTCAAACTTAGACAGATGGTATCCTGAAGATGTTGATTAGAATATATTATGGCCATTAACATTGAAGCTTCTTAATGTTCCTTTTATTGTACTTACTTTTGCTTTCTGAGGAAAAAAGTAAGGAAGATTTAATAAGACTGAAGAAAATATTAATAGAAATAATAAAAAGTAATCCTCTAGTATATTATGTCTATTAATTCTCACAAAATATTATAGATTATACGATTTTTCTCCATATGAAAAATGTTTATTGGACATTTATTTTACAAGCACATAATCATTTTTAGTAGTTAACAACCTTACATTTGAAAAAAAAAATCCAACCCACAACAAAATCAAAATGTATCATGTTTGTGGGCATAAACCAGGCTCACAGAAGGCAAAAGAACTATGAGTACATTAAAAATAGTTCCCTTTGGCACTCTTGGCATTTGGCATAATTCTGAAATATATATAGTGGCCTCTCTGAGAGCCAAATTTAAACCTGATGAGCCACTGATGAGGTAACTCTTATGTCCCATCTCTGTTTCCCTTCAGTGATGCTTCAAATGGGAAATGCAGCATTTTAGGGAGTTTTTTGCTCCAAATGAGATGTTGACTGTCCAGTGGGAAGATAAAGAATCTATTACATGTACTTTAAAAGCCATAAAAGATAACCTTAATTTCCTAGCTTACATTTATTTGCACTCACACAATGTCTCCCATTTCAAGGCTGAGTATGAGCAATTGCCAAGTACATAATTGAAGGAGAGTAATGCAATGAATAAGTGTCTGGTCTAGAACTAGTGAATTCACAGAGAATGTACTGTCTACAGGGAAAAAAAAAAGGAAAAAAAAGTTGAATCCTAAAGCATGGTGCTGTCAAATGAAGCTGAGGATTTAAAATTACCAGTAATTTTCTAAGTGTCTTCAAAAGTTGCCATGAACTTTCAACGAGGTGGCAGAAAAATGCCATATTTCAAGTGAAAGCTTGCAACTGTTAAGCTGAACTTTTTAAAGTGTTGCTAGTTCATCAAACATTGATTGACTGGAAACTGCAGCCTTCTCATTTTATTCATGTGCAAAATACAGCACGGCAAAGAAACATAACCTTTAGCAAACCACCTTTAGTTTATATCTCTGCAGCTCCTCTAATAGTGAAGTAAAATTCAGGAAGGATTTTTTTCTTTGGAATTGGTTAAGCTGAGATCTGCTTTAGATTCAGGTCTTAGATGCCACAAGCTGATATCCATCAGATCCATAAGGAGTTCTGGGCCTCTGAATTCACACTACCAATCCGGAGTCATCTGGAGACATACCTATACCATGTTTGGTCATCAATAAACTGCAAAGAATAGGAAAGGAAAATTACTTGGGTTTAAAGTATGTTTTCTAGACTCAAAAATTCTCTTTGAGTTGTACACAATGGACTCTACTTTTTATGTTTAATTATGTAATACCAAGTATTCCTTCAGAATTGGCCTTTAGTTACTATTTGGATCATTTCATGAAGAGTCCTCAAATTCTCAACAATAATGACTACTGGTAATTATTGTTAGCAGATTTTTCTGACTGTGTGGCTTGAAACCAGGAGTTTCTATAATCTGTTTCATTCCCTGAACTCTCATCTTTATCCTCTGAAGAAAACTTCTGAAAAGCAGAAGCTATTAAATATTGAATGCTACTGAACTATAATAGAGCACATCTCTGGGTAGGTGCTTGCATCCTTCAAAAATATTCTAACTCAATTAATCCAAAATGAGGACAAGTTCTGTGAAACCTGTCTTCCAATAAATTTGGGGAAGGTCATAACCACAGCTTAATAACAAATTGAAGGAAAAGAAAGAGAATATCTGTTTCCCTTATATTTTAACTGAAGGGTTATATCTACAGAATAAATGCATAATTGGATCTCAAGCAACAAAAAGCTGAAAATAAAAGTAGAAAAAGTCTTGAATTGACATACTTAAAACAGTAGGATTCTTTTTACAACTCCTCTTACATCAGTTGCTGGGATTTTTTCCTTCTCGCTCTCCTTTTTTCACATTCATCAAGGTCATTGTGAGTTTTTTTCCCTTTGATTTTAATTTGATGTCAGTACATTCATTTTTATGTAAATTTCAGGAGAGGTGATTGTATCTTCATTTCTCCAACCATCTGGCACACTGGGAAACACAGCAGCATTCAACCCTAATGACATAAATAAGAAAAAATATAGGGAATTTCTGAAGAGACTTCAAAAACCGAAAAAGCCAACAAAGAACCAAAGAGATGTGATTATTAACAACAGAAGATTGTAAATATTTTTATCAATATTTAGTGTGAGTTCCTGTAATTAAAGATTTCTGAAACACTTCCTTATTCAGCAAGCAATCCCTTTCATGCCACCAGTGTTTTTCCTATTGATAAATTAACAAGTAGAACTATCTGCTCCCTTTGATAAAGCTGGATGTATCATTGTTCACAATTGAAAACCAAAACTTAATGTAAAAAGGTGTGATAAGCCAAAAAATTCCACAATTAAAAAAAAATATAAAACCAACCAAACCAGTTTGGTTTTATGTTATTTTACATATTTAAAAGAAAGAACTGTAGTAGCCAAGAAATTACCTTAGTTTTCAGCAAATAAAATAAATGAGGCTAAAAAATAATTCACAGTCAGGAATATATTTGTTCTTCAAGTTGACCTATGACTTTGCTTTAAAGAGTTATTTTAAAACTTTTGCATAAACCTTCCCAATAGTAGACTCCCATAACTACATCGCCTTTTACATTCCTTGTTATTTGAAAATTATAATTGATATTAATAAAAATATTTAAATGAGTATGTGGGATGTTTTGTTTTCCTAAGTGACCCAATGTTAAATGATTTAGAACAGGAGGAACTGTGGTACCACAGATTCCCTTGAAAATCTCAACTGGCTTCCATTTCCACCTGGGTAGTCCAGCATCATTTCCGGGCTCCGGTGGTATTATTCTGACCTCTTATAAAAATGTCATGCATCTAATGCTAATAAATGCAATGCTAATGTTATTTTTTGTGGGCTAGACTCAGTGAAAATGCTTTTGGAAAAACAGCGCTGTACAGAATACAAACACACACGCACATAAAGCTTGGAAATTCCCTTTCTGAAGCCATTAGTGAAGCTATTGTTCTGTAATCAATTAGAGCTTCTCAATTGCTATGGAACTTTAAAGTGTCTAGAGAGAAAATAATTTTCTTACCTGGAAGTGATTCTGCTCCATTCAAAATCTTAAGATATTTGACTATAAAGTGAAAACCTGGTTTAACCCAAGACTAAACTTCCTTCAATAAGAGCATGTAAAGATTTGGAGAAAGTTCATTTTCCTCAAAAGAGCTTTTATGGGGCTGTGTTTTAAATTTGGGCTGAGAATGATGTTGATAATACAGAGATATTTTTGTTCTTGCTATTTTAGGTATTGACTTGCAGAGAGTCAAAGCCTTTTCTGCTTCTCACCCCACCTCAGCAGTGAGCGGGCTTGGGAAGCTGGGAGGGTTCCCAGCTGGGAGAGCTGCTCCCAGCTGGCCACAGGGATATCCCAGAGCACATGGGGCCATGATTAGTCTGTAGAACTAGTGGGGGAGAAAAAGGAAGGGGGGAATACTCGGAGTTATGGCATTTGTCTTCCCAAGTCACCATTGTGCATTATTGAGCCCTGCCGTCCTGGAGGTGGCTGAACACCTGCCTGCCTATGGGAAGTGAGGCATGAATTCTTGGTGTTGTTTTGTTGTGTTGGCATGTATGACTTTTGGTTGTATTTAATTTTTTTTGTTTTTTGCCTACTAACCAGTCTTTATTTCAACCCATGCATTTCCTTTTACTCTTTAAATTCTCCCTCTCATCCCACTGGGGGAGGATGAGTGAGTGGCTACATGACTTAGTTGCCAGCTGAGGTTAAACCACAACACAGTAACATACTGAGTTGTTACACAGCAATATTTTCCATTTCTCTTCTGAGAAAATGGCTTTGTCTCATATTGGCTTTCTTCCTAGAAAAATAATTTAAATTCATCTATTAAAACAAGGCTTTAAAAAAAATCCTTAAAATAAAATTTCAAATCTACCCAATTTTCTCATTAGAAATATATGAAAGGTCTAACAGGGTAAGTGGAAAATATAGGGCACAAGAAACAAGATATGGTAATTGAGACCATCTGTCCCACTAAATATAAAGCACATTTGCTTGTGGTTTGCTGTCTCTCTGATCTTATTGCAGTTCCAAAATCTGACCATTCAAGTAGAGGAAAAAAATTTCTGATGCATGACAGGAAAAATTTAGATGTACTCATTTCAAGAGGAGAAGAACATGTTCTTAAATTCTTTCAAGCATGTGGAGAAGAGCAGAGACAAGTGCAAGAATAGATGATCCTTTTTAGCTGTCACTGATGTTTGACTATCCTGCCACCTTACAGAGCAGCAGCTGACCTGACAGTAATTTAGGCGACAACCTAGCCTATGGACTAGAATTATTTTCTTGAAGCATTCATTATTGTTATTGTTGCTTTTATATCCATTAAGAGAACTGTAGGTCTTACACAGGCAATCATAGCTGACCACTCTTAGTGCCAGAGGATCGATACAGCAAGGAGCTGAATTCAAGACAAATGTTGTGAATGTTTTCCCCTTCCTTGACATTTAATTTATTATAATTTTTTGGTGATATGATCAATAACAACTATACAAATCACAATATTCAAATACTATGTACACATTATAATCTGTTTCACTGATAAGATACGGTAACATTCACAGCACCACCATTTAGAGTTGCTGCTTTGTAAGTCTGAATATAAGCACAAAAATCCACACTGGAGTTATTGTTCCTGACAGTGGGTATGGGTTTAATGCTGGTGTGTTCGTTGTTGGTTTGCTTTGGTTATTTCCATCTGTTCCTACTTTCAGGAAAAGAAGGAAACAGAAAGGGTTATTCAAGTAGAATGTGTATAAATGCTTACAGTATATGTACTTTGCATTACTATATATCATGTGTAGATATTAAAGCATAGAAACATTCAGGGTTTAGAAGAACTCTAAGATCATCAAGTTGGACCATTAACCCAGCACCAACATATTCACCACTAAACCATCTCCCCAATGTCACATCCACACTCCAGGTATAGGCATTCCACCACTCCTCTGGGCAACCCCAAAGCCTGAAATAACTCACTAATGTATAGATACTATATATTACTCCATATACTGTATGTATAGATACAGACCACATGGATATTGCACTACAGACGTGTGCTGCACAGAGCACAATATGTGCAGTATGCACCTGTACTTACAATTGTTACAGACACATCTGCTGTGGCCCATCCCTGCAGTACTAACCTTGACTACACGATAGCGCACAAGATTCTTAATTGTTTTTGTGTGAGAAAACACGACTTAGATGCAATGTATGCACAATATCTACCTGCCTATATTATCAAAAACTTAATAGAAATTTTCTACAGCCTTGAGTTGCCAACAAATATGTTACAGTTTAAAAAAAATAATTTTATTTTCTGAAAATCATCGTGAGTTCTCAGCAGATCTATGAAAGCCAGTTTTAAGGCTTCTGTGGTAAGAAGGAGCACTTTTATCCAGAAACATTTTGTGCTATGACAGTTCAGTGAACAGCTTAGTGTTCTGCCAGCCATTTGGGAAGTTTCTTTTGCAGTGGAATACAGAAGGTCTTGAAAAGCAAAAGAAATATTAACTTAATGGAAACTGGGACTTCCAAATCTAGCAAATATGCATCTGCATTTCTTGCTTGAACTGCACTGGGTTAATGAAGTCAAACACTGAAAGTTTTCTTGTGCTGTATGGAAATCAATAAATGCTGATGGGAAAAAACCAAAAAAACAACAAATCAAAACAAAAACCAGGAACCAAAAGCTAGATCAGTCTCAAGACTGAAAGTGTGCTGTGCTCTCAACTCAGAAAAATGATTTGTGGTACCAATACTGATCCCAAACTGCTGCTAAGGAATCAGGGCCTACTGGCCTGGATACAAAGAGAATGAACCACAAGCAAGCACTGCTTTTAGATTAAGTCTTCAAACCTTGTTGAGCAACAGTTTTTCTCTGAAAGAAACAATTATTTCTCTCATTTCAGATTTCTAATGAAAATTAAAAGAATGCATAATAATTGGGGATGCTCTAATGAATCTCTGCAAGGAACTCAATATAAAAATACGTGATGGTTGCCACATTAAAATTTATAATTAAAATTTTATAATAAAATTAGCTTCATAATTATACTAAGATATTCCCTTGCTCTGAACACATTAAAATATGCAATAGCATGGTAGAGAAGAAGCAGAGAAAAAAATTCGAGATATTACAAAAGTGGGTTATTTGATTGACAGAGCACTTTAACATAATTTTATGTGATTTGGTTTCTATGACAAGAACAAATATTGGTTACAAACCTAATGCTGGCATACACAATTTTGCAGGTTTTGCCAAAAATTATGTCAGAAGTTATATTTATTTAAAACAGAACCTGCAGACTGTATGTGATTAATGTTTCTAACTTGGCAGGAGAGCCCAAAATTTATGATTTATTCTCTCTGCCACAGGTTAGGCAGACAGGAGGCTGATATACTAGATACGGCTGCTATTGTAAATTTATTTGGCATTTCATTTTTCAGTCACACTGGTGGTTATTTTCATACATCTTCAATCCATCATTTCCTGCTAAATCCAATTAGTTTGATTGGCAGGTTTAGCCTCCCAGTGGGTCTTTGTCAATATTGTGTAGCAGTAAATACCTTGAGACACTTTTTCAAAACTTTTCTCGGTTATTTGTTTTTCCTCACCCAGATAACGATTGATTAGGTGGGTTTGTCCCACCCATCCACAGAGGCTGAAGACAAGGTGATCAAAACCAACCATGTGCTAACAAGACCTGCACCCTCCTTTGAAGAGGCAGGAGGAATTCCTGCCAGGCTGGGCTGTCCTGGGGCTCAGCAGCCCCTGTTTGGGACCAGCTTCAAACAAGGATTCCATGGGAAAGATCCTGGTGCTGAGGAAAGCTGTGGGACAGGGAGGTAAAGCAGGTGTTAAATCTCTTGAAGGCACTATTTTTAATTATTTGTCCCCATAAACTAATTAAGGGATTTACATACAAATGATCAGAAAATTTATTCTGCGCTCAGCAACACACATGCTGTCTTTTTCATACATAACAATGAAGCTAAATCCTTGATTCAGTCTTAATTAGAAAGCTATAGTGAGTTCTTCTACAGTGTTTTGTTTTCTGGATTTATAGTGGGAAGAAAGAGGAATAATAATTAATGCTGAAGTACTGTGAAAGATGACCAATTTATAGAAAAGGTCAATTAAGTGAATTGAAGAACAGATTACATAGGAAGAGAAAGGAGCTTACATTTACTGAAAAAAGAAGAAACAGGAGCAGGTCTAAGATGGATTTCATCAAAACAAAATATTTCTATTTACATGCTACATAGTTCAATGCCCAGGGGGATCAGTCAA